TACAACTGAGGGATTTTATATTTTTATCTTTCTTTTTAATGTTCTGTGATTATTTATGATTTTAATGCTTTCTTGTTTTGTTCAGCCCTTTGAGTTGCCTTGTGTATGATTTGTGCTATATAAATAAACTTGCCTTGCCTTTTCCAATCGGGATTAGAACCCAGGATCCTCTGCTAAGAAGTACATAAATTTTAAACATTTATAAACATTCCTAACTAACATTTCTAACAAACTCAGACAGATCTCTTGTACAGTCTGATAGCCAAAGGAACAAAGGATCTCTTAAAAATGTTCTTTCTGCAGCGCAGTGATAGGAGCCTGTTGCTACGATGACTCCTCTGAGTGGCCATAATGGGTGTAGTTACCCAGGATCAGTGACAGGTCAGATGAGGCAGGTGAATAAAATGGAAACAATAATACTTTGTCACTATATCCAGTGATCTATGGTATTGTATTTTTTCAATGTAACTTTTCCTTATTTCATTCATTTTTACCTTGAAATTGCAGATTTTTGTCATATTTTCTCATATTTGACAAGAGCGGCGCGCTGTGAGGCGAGCCTCACTCAGGAGACGTAAAAGCCACAGCCCACTGTGGAAGGAGCCTGTGCGCTGATATCGAAAAGTTTTCTCTGTTTATTGCGGTTTACAAAGTTACCGCAATAATACTTCCTTTACAATCAACATGTCTACAGTTGAGAGGATGAGTCATAAATTGTGTTTTTGACAAAAAATATGGGTCTTAACCGCGCTCAAACCACGGCTTGTAATGTCACCAACTACGGCCAGCCACGGCGCATGTGAGCCCAGAATTCGGCTGCATCCAATTTAATCTGAAAGCTCCTTTCTTGTTCCTCCTCTGCTAAGGGCAGCTACAGGTTTGGCTAACAAACATATAACACATTTTAAGATGATTTAAAATCCACTTAGGGTATGGTTATAATTCCAATGACGATAGGAATGATAAGAAAGAGAGGAGAAGGGTAAGGTTGATTTCAGAAAATGTAAGCACCCGAGAGTCCGCTACCGGCAGCTAGCGAACACACGAGAGGAGTTTATGGAGGAGACACTCGTTTTGTTTTACTTTTTAAAACTCATTGGACTTATTTCCAAATGGAGGATTACATATCTGCGCTCAAACTATTATCTGGACTTAAACATGAAACTGGTCCGAAGTGAAGTGGTCTGTGCAGGTCATTTATAAGGTAAGACCATAACACACTTTTAAATGTGCTTTTTACCAACTTTTGCGTTTTGTATGAGCAAACGATAGAGAACTATCTAAATGACGTCACTAAGACACGCCCCCGCCGCCTGTCAGGTCCCGCCCACATGTTTCGGACAAACACTGCCCAAATAAATCAAATACCACTCGTCACTTTAGACCAAAATAATATACCAGGAGCCAAATTCCACCATCAAACCATCAGGGACCATAGTGTAGACCAGTTATAACGTTGGCTTGAATGTCGTGGTCTGTAACTGGTAGAAAGTTTGAATTGATAAAAAGGTAATGGTGAGGATTATGATAACATAATCTTGTCATTAAAACTGCAATGTTAGCGTCTTCTTTGTTTATTTTGCTGTGATTAACTTTCATTTATCAAGTTTATTTTTGCACTATTCACTTTGTAATTAGTTTGATCATCTAGTTAGCTCCTGTCGATATTATAATAGATCCATGGGGTCACAACGGGCTACGCCACTACTGTCTCTGAGAGAAACTATCGGAGCCACACTCAATCAACGTAAAAGACAATCAATCGACACATTTAAATGTTAATGGGAGAATATATTATACATACATTAGTAACACACGTGCACGGAGGTTTTCAGAATGATCTGTTCAGGTTTTCATCACAAAAATACTTTTTTAATGCGACTAAAGCGATCGCTTTTCTGAAGTAGGTTAACCAGCCTCACTGTTACTCGCCTGCCTCGGGAAAACCTTTGGGAACTATTTTCTTTGGAGTCATTAAATAAACCTTTTGGCATTAATAAAATTGACTGAAGTTAACTTTGTGTGTTCAGTTCGTACAAAGCCGTATTATAAACGGACCCCGACGCGCTTCGTCTGAACTTATTTTCCGATAGTCACGAAGTTGTTAAAAAGTCACTGAGTTGAAGAAAAGGTGTGAGAATTGTAAACATTCTGGATTAGGACAAACAATACTAATATGGATTAATGGGGTAAATGGTATAAAGAGAAAGTTTGTGCTAACTACTTTCAGAAGAGCTCAGACGGACCTGATACAGCGGTCCAGACGGTCCAGGTCCAGGTCCAGGTCCAGTCCCAGCTAAACGTAGCTAGGACTGGATCTGGAGGCTCCACAGTTGGTCCAGCTTCAAATGTTTTGAAAAAACATGAGTCCTTTTTAACATTTTCATGAGAGAATTTCTGCCGACCACAAGCACCCACCTGTTGCACTTGTCCTGGTCTGGTCCTGGTCTGGTCCTGGTCTGGTCCGATGGTGTGGTTTAACGAACGGGTTGAATGTTACTTTCATATAGTCCTTTTCAGAGTATCTGAAATCGCTCCGACAAGCACCATAACTGCAGTGTTTTGTTGTCACCATGATTCAATGATTTAGCCCAAATAAATACACACGTGTGGAGAACACAGTAGTACTCAACGAGTCGGACAGAGTTTGTCCGAAACATGCGCAGTCATCGGAGCTATTTTTAGCACATTTCGGAAACTGGACAGTGCCCTATGCGGACATGGAACATATTCTACTGTAGCCAAACAAATTGTGAATAAGCCGCTCTGTAGGTCCTGTTGATTTACAGTATATGATATATGTTCATCTGATTGGGCTGAAGTCAGTGCCTCACCAATCACCAGCCTCACAGCACGTCACTGCCCAGGATGTCCTGCATTAGAGCCCTCTTCCTTCTATCCAGCACAGATGGATGGAATGGATTTACTCAGACGTGAATTTTAACCGCCAAAATTAAATAAGTGACATCAACCGGTTGATGATTTATCACTTGAATAACATTGCAAGAATCAAAAATATAGTGTCTAAAGCAGACTTGGAGCTCCTTATCAATGCATTTGTCTCCAGTAGGTTAGACTACTGTAACGGCCTACTCACTGGTCTCTCCAAAGGAGCTATAAAGCAGTTCCAGTATATTGAATATGCTGCAGCTCAAGTCCTGACTAGAACCCGGAAGTCCAATCACATTTGTCCAGTTCTCTGCACTGGCTTCTTGTGGCTCAGAGAATAGACTTTAAAGAACTTCTCACACCCGCTCCTCGAGGCTTACGTCACTCACATTTTCTTTTCAAATCTCCCTCCAAATGGGCGTAGCCTGGAGGACTAAAGGGGACAGGGGGGAGGGGGTGAATGTTGGGCGGGTCTAAGCTGTGATTGACACTTGACACCAGCATTGGCTGTGACAAAGACAGAGAGAGATCAGACGCCAGCTCTATAGCTTCTGTGTGGTCTGAGGAGGTGGAGGACTTCTCTCCACCGTCCTCACTGGAGGTTGAGAGAGAGGAGGCAGACGGCGGCCGTCAGCCATATCACTTTGAGCCAAGCTAGCGCCGCTAGTAGAGCTAGCGGCTCGGCACGCGAGCTAGCGGGCACCACCCATGGATCTATAATATCTGCAGAAGCAGCGGAGGCAGCAGACCGCCACAGAATGGGGCCTGTTTCTGAATGATATAGATTAGAGTGGAATAAAAAAGTACGAACGTCTTGTCACAGGTCTGCAAGCATGGAAACCCAAAAGGCATTTTGGATAGAAATGATAGCCCAATGTGCACAAAAGAGACAGTAATTTAACACACGCTCAAACATAAAGTAGTATTTATTGTACATAAGTACAATAAACAATATACAATGAAATTTCACACGATATAGAACACTAACAAGTAATACTAACAAAAGTCCTGAGCTAAATTCAGCTAACTAATCAAACAATAAAATCAACTAAAGCCTAAAACTACAATATTCCACGCAATGAACACTACACAATTATCTATAATACAAACAGCTATGCTAATAAAAATCTACCTAAATGCTATAACTAATCGCAAACCTGACAATCGATGAAAATACTCTTTGCTATTCCTTCTCCAACTCGCTACGGGGGCGTGAACGAGACTGAGCATTTTAAATACCTCAGGGCGGCAGGGCAACTGACGTCCGCCTTCGCGGCTGTGCCAGTGTTGGCGCCAGATTCAAAATTCAAATGTAGTAATACAGGTCGCCAGCAGATGGCGCCTCACAGACAGTTTTAGGCAGAAAGTTGATCTTTCAACTAATTTGCACCAAAGTGACAAAATTATGAGCAGGATATGTAGACAACACTATTGGACACTCATTTATACAGTTTATCAGCAGTGATTTGAGGGCGAGTTGTCCTTTAAAGCAGCCCTGCTTGTGTACAAGTCTCTCCATTCACAGTACATCCGAGACATGTTAGTTCGGAGGGACTGGCCTCCTGCTGGTTTCCAGAGTCAGGACGAAAAATGGGTAGGCTGCATTTGAGATCTATGCTGCTAGGATATCTGGTCTCCCTGAGGTTGTGAGACAGACCTCGACCCTGACTATGTTGTGCTTTTATCTCCCTTTTAAAACCCACATTTAATAAGAGTTTTAAACCCTATACTTTTATGCTGCTGTTTGAATATGAAATGACTTTACGCATTTTGATCGTGTACAAGGCCACACTTCGAATGGCCTTGTACACGAATTGTGTTATACAAATATACAAATAAATGATTGATTGATTTTGATCGCCTTTTTGAGACTCCAGTGCACTCTCTCTACTCTCTGTCTCTGGCGTGTTGTTACTACAAGGATTTCACTTATTGTGTTTTTTTTAGAACACATTATCTCTGTGACTGTGTCTCTGTGCTAGGGGCCAAAAATAGTATCTGCTTTAAGATTTTGTATGTAGTTTGAATTGTTATTTTAAAAAAAGAGATATTTGGTCATGGTTTTATCAACCTTTATTTCACAAGTAAACACCCACAGAGATCTCTCTTCTTCAGAAGAGTCCTGGCCCCAGAGAGGGGGGAGCCGTGAGTCCTGGCCCCAGGGAGGGGGGAGCCGTGAGTCCTGGCCCCAGAGAGAGGGGGGAGCCGTGAGTCCTGGCCCCAAAGAGGGGTGAGGGGGGAGCCGTGAGTCCTGGCCCCAGAGAGGGGGGAGCCGTGAGTCCTGGCCCCAAAGAGGGGGGAGCCGTGAGTCCTGGCCCCAGGGAGGGGGGAGCCGTGAGTCCTGGCCCCAGAGAGGGGGAGCCGTGAGTCCTGGCCCCAAAGAGGGGGGAGCCGTGAGTCCTGGCCCCAGAGAGGGGTGAGCCGTGAGTCCTGGCCCCAGAGAGGGGTGAGCCGTGAGTCCTGGCCCCAGAGAGGGGGGAGCCGTGAGTCCTGGCCCCAGAGAGGGGGGAGCCGTGAGTCCTGGCCCCAGAGAGGGGGGAGCCGTGTACATGTTTCAAAGATGGTAGAATCCTCTCTCAAAACACCATACATTTTTCTTATTAGATGTTTCTTCTGTCGTCCTGTTGCTGCTGATGATCTGATAACGATGAGCAATGCTGAGGACGTCTTGTTCCGTTCCTTCACTGTACCAGAGCTCCGGGCTAACTGAATGAGGGCCGTGTGTTGCTGCATGGCACCCAAAATCACTCATTCAATTACCCCCCACTGGGACTGTAACCGTATTACAGACAGGGCAGACCACCGTGCATCAAACACCACAGAGGCATGTTTGAATCCCCAGAAACAGCACTTCATTTGGGGAAGGGGTATGTGTGTGTGTGTGTGTGTGTGGGTGTGTTAACAACAGAGGGGAAACCCGGAGCACCTGCACAGACACAACAAGAACATGCAATACTAAGAGAAGCCCTTTTCCAACAAGTGAGAGTGCTAACCACTCAACCACTGTACCAAGCTTGTAGCCAGTGAAGGAGGTCTCTCTTCTGTGGGGGTAGTCTCACTTTAAAAAAATAAATCACACACTTTTAAACAATGGAGTTGAATTCTTTATATACATTTTTCAATGTGGTATTGTATTGAGTGGCATGCCGTCTCTCTCCACAGACAGATCTCGTCCCGGTACTGAGTGAACGTAGTGCGCAGGACTCAAGGTCACTCCCCCAAACCTTATCTGTGTTTCCTGTTTATGGCGCTCAGTGTTGATGAGGCGGTGCTTTAATCAAAGCCAAACAAATTTGCGGCACGGTGCTCCTGGAGCCGGTCTGGACATCCCAGCACCGAGAGGAGAAGGCCTCTGCATGTGAATGTCCCATCACACCATAATCACATGGCTCTGCCTCCGCCGCCGGTGTGCGGTACTGGGCCGCAGATGCATTGCATATTCTCATTATGACCAAGACCGCGGCAGGAAGCACGATCGTAAACACGGGACACTAGGACAGAGCGCACTGACCGTCACTGTGTGTTTGTGCGTGTGTTTGTGCGTGTGTTTATGCGTGTGTTTGTGCGTGTGTTTATGCGTGTGTTTGTGCGTGTGTTTGTGCGTGTGTTTGTGCGTGTGTTTATGCGTGTTTTTGTGCGTGTGTTTATGCGTGTGTTTATGCGTGTTTTTGTGCGTGTGTTTGTGCGTGTGTTTGTGCGTGTGTTTGTGCGTGTGTTTATGCGTGTGTTTGTGCGTGTGTTTGTGCGTGTGTTTATGCGTGTGTTTGTGCGTGTGTTTATGCGTGTGTTTGTGCGTGTGTTTGTGCGTGTGTTTGTGCGTGTGTTTATGCGTGTGTTTATGCGTGTGTTTGTGCATGTGTTTATGCGTGTGTTTGTGCGTGTGTTTGTGCGTGTGTTTGTGCGTGTGTTTGTGCGTGTGTTTGTGCGTGTGTTTGTGCGTGTGTTTGTGCGTGTGTTTTTGCGTGTGTTTGTGCGTGTGTTTGTGCGTGTGTTTGTGCGTGTGTTTATGCGTGTGTTTTGCGTGTGTTTGTGCGTGTGTTTATGCGTGTGTTTGTGCGTGTGTTTGTGCGTGTGTTTGTGCGTGTGTTTGTGCGTGTGTTTGTGCGTGTGTTTATGCGTGTGTTTGTGCGTGTGTTTGTGCGTGTGTTTGTGCGTGTGTTTGTGCGTGTGTTTGTGCGTGTGTTTGTGCGTGTATGTACAGTGAACTGTTTGATATTTCTGCGATCACACTTCAGCAGTCGTAAGTTCAAGTGGTTAGAAAAGTGTATAAAGTGTGTGTCAGGAGTTTTAGCACATTAAAACCTAGAGATGCTACTTAAAAAATGTGCCTAATTGTGGGTTGTTAGAGTACATCACCCCCGTGATAAACAATGGCGGGTGTAATGTAAATTTATTAAACCAATGTAACCAAAGCAAATAACAAAAAACAAAAATATGAAAGATTCAGTGTCACATACCCAGGCATGGGTCCGTTCTTGGCCAGGTTTTACACTTGTCTGGGGTTGAGCAGATACTGAAACTTTCTGTAAATCCTACAAAAGCAAAGGCATATTTACATTACAAAACATATTAATGAATAAGAATAAAGTCATGTACAAACACTGTTGATAATTTTCTTTTTCTGTAAGTGTGACAGAGCAGCACAGTCACAGTGTGGACAGCCAGAGCCCCCTTGGGACCAACCATTAGAAAGACTAATATATTTTAATTTCAATTCCATTATATCAACTAGCTGAAGTCGTATTTTGATCTCATAATTCAAACAGATGAGGCGGGGGGGTAAAAGACCCTGAATGAACATGTTTCAGTAATAAGCCAATTAGCCCTGGGTGAGGCAGAGGCTGGCCGTGAGGGAGGGAGCCCGCTGGGAAAACCAGAACACTGACATCACTGTCTTCATATGTGTTAGATGTATATATTTATTAAATGTATTTATTTATCATGTGTGTATATTTATTATTATTGATTTTTGATCTGAAGTATATTGACCATTGAATATGGAGAATCAACACTGGTACACTGGTGTGTGTGTTTGCCTGTGTGTGTGTGTGTGTGTGTGTGTGTGTGTGTGTGTGTGTGTGTGTGTGTGTGCGCACGTCTGTATGTGTGTGTGTGTGTACGTGTGTGTGTGTGTGCGCACGTCTGTATGTGTGTGTGTGTCGCAGACATGAGGGATCTCTCTGGTCTCTCTCTGGTCTCTCTCTGGTCTCTCTCTCTGGTCTCTCTCTGGTCTCTCTCTGGTCTCTCTCTCTGGTCTCTCTCTGGTCTCTCTCTCTGGTCTCCCTCTGGTCTCTTTCCGGTCTCTCTCAGGTCTCTCTCTGGTCTCTCTCTGGTCTCTTTCCGGTCTCTCTCAGGTTTCTCTCTGGTCTCTCTCTCTGGTCTCTCTCTGGTCTCTTTCCGGTCTCTCTCAGGTCTCTCTCTGGTCTCTCTCTGGTCTCTTTCTCTCAGGTCGGTCTCTCTCTCTGGTCTCTTTCCGGTCTCTCTCAGGTTTCTCTCTGGTCTCTCTCTGGTGCTTTCTGTCAGGCCTCTCTCATGTTCTGACACAGATGAAGCTCGCCCTGTCCCAGCAGATACAGCTGGATTTATGAGCCTGTCCTGTCTGACTGATGCATTACTTCCTGTAATTATAAATAATAATCTTGAATAGTCTATGAAGGTGAAGATGGATGTGCTGGGTGTGATTCCTCATGTCTCCATTGTGAGCTAAGGCTGCAGCTGGAGAACAAAAAAATGATTCTACACCTCCCTCTGGTGGTGGCATAAGGAGCTACCGGAGGAAAGGAACTCAAACAAAATAAATCCAGTGATTGCTAACATGATTGACTTGCACCTTTGATGTGACCACGTATTGTTTTCTGTTTTAGATGAATCTCAAATGTGCAAAACATAATACAGCTTTCATTGATCATAGATCAGTCCTGGATCTACATCCTCTGTACTGGATCTAGCCTCAGTCCTGGATCTACATCCTCTGTACTGGATCTAGCCTCAGTCCTGGATCTACATCCTCTGTACTGGATCTAGCCTCAGTCCTGGATCTACATCCTCTGTACTGGATCTAGCCTCAGTCCTGGATCTACAGGTTCTCTCCTGTTGTGGGGTTTCTGAGTGGTTCCTTGAGGATCCAAGGACAGTGATGATCCAGGACCTTTCTGGACAGTGGTCACTCCTCTCCTTAAGGACCAATACCACCTGTGTTCAAAATGTTTGATTATCCAAGACAACTGCTGTTATGATTTAGGGCGATACACAAATATATTGAATATATTTTGAACACTGGGTTTATTTGAAACCTCAGTCCTCAGTGAGTGAAGGTTGTGGGATCACCTGCAGAGCCTGTCCATCCACTGTGACAGAGTTGGCCCTCTGCATCTGTCCTGTCCTGGACTGATTGCAGCGAGAGTCCTTCCTCAGTGTCGACTGCCTTTCCTGCAGGGAAAGAATAAAGCAAACAAGTTCATTAAAGCTGGGGTTCCTATTTTTCTTCATGAATAACCCATGTTGTCGCAACAGAACGAGTCAAACCAGACACAACCTGCTGTCTTCATTACAAAACATATTATCTTTTTATGTAAGAAAGAGCCCTGTGAGTCACTATTTGACTCTTAAGGCAGAGAGCTGATGGCTCATCTAAAGATGAGACAGGTCAGAAATGTAAAATATCATTATATTCTGTAAAATATCAGAGAGAAACCAGAGACCAAAGAGAGAAAAGTAAATAACCAGAGAGACCAGAGAAATACCAGCTAAAGACCAGAAAGAGAACAAAGAGAGAGACCAGAAAGAGAACAAAGAGAGAGACCAGAGATACCAGAGGCCAAAATACATCATGTGAAAATTAGCGATGGAAGCAACTGTTTTAGAGCCAGGAAGTAGAGACATGAGTTTATCACAGAGTTACATTTTTCAGTTAGAAGGTTCGGTACCACTTAAAAAGCTTAATAGAGTTTGTCTTTGGATGTTCAGTAACTTTATATCTTTTTTTTATTCATCATTGGTGAAGTCTTTTGTAGCATGTGTATCTGACTAAAGGTCCTTCTTCTGCACCACAACCCTCGTTCACTGTAAAAAAGACTTATGTTGAAATGAATAATCAGTAATCAACAGCAAACAGCACACGGAACAAAATGAAAAAGAAACGCAATAGTTATATTTACTGGTAACTAGTTACTTTCATAGTAAGTAAGTAAGTAAGCTTTATTTATATACCGCCTTTCACAGACCAGAGTCACAAAGCGGTTTTACAATTGTTATTTTTTGGGCATTTGTCTCTCACTCCACACAGAGACAGGAGCGGGGCCAGTACAGGAGGCACATGCCAGATCTATTGTACATGTTTTTAGTGGTAGGGGAAACCGGAGTACCCGGAGGAAACCTACGCAGGCACGGGGAGAACATGCAAACTCCACTCAGAAAGGCCCTGGTCCGGCCGGGATTCGAACCCAGGACCTTCTTGCTGAGAGGCGAGAGTGCTATCCACTCAGCTACCGTGCCGCCATATTTTTTTAGTTTGGAGTAACTCAGTTACTTTTTGGGAGAAGTAACTAGTAACTTTAACTAATTACTTTTTAAAAGAAACGAATAATACAAAACTGGAGAACATTACAGTTTTTCTCTATTAACACAACACAAAACCCAGTACTCTAAACACATTTAGTAAAACTACCCCCCACTTTTCACAACCATAAACACCGTTCACAAAACCCATCCCCTTTTTCTCAAAACTCTAAATACATTTTGCTTTTGCTGAAACACATTTTGCATATGCATTGTGCAGCTCATGTGATGCAAAATGCCTCCCACAGTCAGCAAAACCTGAACACAATGAACAAACCTGGTGTCATTCAGAAAACACCACCATCAGAGCTGAAAACTCCTGTTGACAATGATGGGACCACAACTTTATAAGTCAGTGCAGTTTGATGAAGGTTCCAAACAAAAATGGACGATCAAGGCAGAAGAAGAGGTGTCTGTGTCAGAGGAAGGAGAGGAGCAGGTCAAAGAGAGAGAGGAGCAGGTCAGAGAGAGAGAGGAGCAGGTCAGAGAGAGAGAGAGGAGCAGGTCAGAGAGAGAGAGAGGAGCAGGTCAAAAGGAGAGAGGAGCAGGTCAGAGAGAGAGGAGCAGGTCAAAGAGAGAGGAGCAGGCCAAAGAGAGAGAGGATCAGGTCAATGAGAGAGGAGGCCAAAGAGAGAGGAGCAGGTCAAGAGAGAGAGAGGAGCAGCAGTCAGAGAGAGAGAGAGGAGCAGGTCAGAGAGAGAGAGAGAGCAGGTCAAAGGAGAGAGGAGCAGGTCAGAGAGAGAGGAGCAGGTCAAAGAGAGAGGAGCAGGTCAAAGAGAGAGAGGAGCAGGTCAAAGAGAGAGAGGAGCAGGTCAAAGAGAGAGAGGAGCAGGTCAAAGAGAGAGAGGAGCAGGTCAGAGAGAGAGAGGAGCAGGTCAGAGAGAGAGAGAGGAGCAGGTCAAGAGAGAGAGGAGCAGGTCAAAGAGAGAGAGGAGCAGGGAGAGAGAGGAGCAGGTCAGAGAGAGAGAGGAGCAGGTCAGAGAGAGAGCAGGCAGGTCAATAGGAGAGAGGAGCAGGTCAGAGAGAGAGAGGAGCAGGTCAAAGAGAGAGGAGCAGTCAAAGAGAGAGAGGAGCAGGTCAGAGAGAGAGAGAGGAGCAGGTCAGAGAGAGAGAGAGGAGCAGGTCAAAGAGAGAGAGGAGCAGGTCAGAGAGAGAGAGGAGCAGGTCAGAGAGAGAGAGGAGCAGGTCAGAGAGAGAGAGGAGCAGGTCAAAGAGAGAGAGGAGCAGGTCAAAGAGAGAGAGGAGCAGGTCAAAGAGAGAGGAGCAGGTCAGAGAGAGAGGAGCAGGTCAGAGAGAGAGAGGAGCAGGTCAAAGAGAGAGAGGAGCAGGTCAAAGAGAGAGGAGCAGGTCAAAGAGAGAGAGGAACAGGTCAAAGAGAGAGAGGAGCAGGTCAGAGAGAGAGAGGAGCAGGTCAAAGAGAGAGAGGAGCAGGTCAAAGAGAGAGAGGAGCAGGTCAAAGAGAGAGGAGCAGGTCAAAGAGAGAGAGGAACAGGTCAAAGAGGGAGAGGAGCAGGTCAAAGAGGGAGAGGAGCAGGTCAAAGAGAGAGGAGCAGGTCAAAGAGAGAGAGAGGAGCAGGTCAAAGAGAGAGAGGAGCAGGTCAAAGAGAGAGGAGCAGGTCAAAGAGAGAGAGGAGCAGGTCAAAGAGAGAGGAGCAGGTCAGAGAGAGAGAGGAGCAGGTCAAAGAGAGAGAGGAGCAGGTCAAAGAGAGAGAGGAGCAGGTCAAAGAGAGAGGAGCAGGTCAAAGAGAGAGAGGAACAGGTCAAAGAGGGAGAGGAGCAGGTCAAAGAGGGAGAGGAGCAGGTCAAAGAGAGAGGAGCAGGTCAAAGAGAGAGGAGCAGGCCAAAGAGAGAGAGGAGCAGGCCAAAGAGAGAGGAGCAGGCCAAAGAGAGAGAGGAGCAGGTCAAAGAGAGAGAGGAGCAGGTCAAAGAGAGAGGAGCAGGTCAAAGAGAGAGAGGAGCAGGTCAAAGAGAGAGGAGCAGATCAAAGAGGGAGAGGAGCAGGTCAAAGAGGGAGAGGAGCAGGTCAAAGAGAGAGGAGCAGGTCAAAGAGAGAGAGGAGCAGGTCAAAGAGAGAGAGGAGCAGGTCAAAGAGAGAGAGGAGCAGGTCAAAGAGAGAGAGGAGCAGGTCAAAGAGAGAGGAGCAGGTCAGAGAGAGAGAGGAGCAGGTCAAAGGGAGAGAGGAGCAGGTCAAAGGGAGAGAGAGGAGCAGGTCAAAGGGAGAGAGGAGCAGGTCAAAAAGAGAGAGGAGCAGGTCAGAGAGAGAGGAGCAGGTCAAAGAGAGAGGGAGGAGCAGGTCAAAGAGAGAGAGGAGCAGGTCAAAGAGAGAGAGGAGCAGGTCAAAGAGAGAGGAGCAGGTCAAAGAGAGAGAGGAGCAGGTCAAAGAGAGAGGAGCAGGTCAAAGAGAGAGAGAGGAGCAGGTCAAAGAGAGAGAGGAGCAGGTCAAAGAGAGAGAGGAGCAGGTCAAAGAGAGAGGAGCAGGTCAAAGAGAGAGAGGAGCAGGTCAAAGAGAGAGAGGAGCAGGTCAAAGAGAGAGGAGCAGGTCAGAGAGAGAGGAGCAGGTCAAAGAGAGAGAGAGGAGCAGGTCAAAGAGAGAGAGGAGCAGGTCAAAGAGAGAGAGGAGCAGGTCAAAGAGAGAGGAGCAGGTCAAAGAGAGAGAGGAGCAGGTCGAAGAGAGAGGAGCAGGTCAAAGAGAGAGAGAGGAGCAGGTCAAAAAGAGAGAGGAGCAGGTCAAAGAGAGAGAGGAGCAGGTCAAAGAGAGAGAGGAGCAGGTCAAAGAGGGAGAGGAGCAGGTCAAAGAGGGAGAGGAGCAGGTCAAAGAGAGAGAGGAGCAGGTCAAAGAGAGAGAGGAGCAGGTCAAAGAGAGAGAGGAGCAGGTCAAAGAGAGAGAGGAGCAGGTCAAAGAGAGAGAGGAGCAGGTCAAAGAGTTAGAGGAGCAGGTCAAAGAGAGAGAGAAGGAGCAGGTCAAAGAGAGAGAGGAGCAGGTCAAAGAGAGAGGAGCAGGTCAAAGAGAGAGAGGAGCAGGTCAAAGAGAGAGAGAGGAGCAGGTCAAAGAGAGAGAGGAGCAGGTCAAAGAGAGAGGAGCAGGTCAAAGAGAGAGAGGAGCAGGTCAAAGAGAGAGGAGCAGGTCAAAGAGAGAGGAGCAGGTCAAAGAGAGAGGAGCAGGTCAGAGAGAGGAGCAGGTCAAAGAGGGAGAGGAGCAGGTCAAAGAGAGAGGAGCAGGTCAAAGAGAGAGAGGAGCAGGTCAAAGAGAGAGGAGCAGGTCAAAGAGAGAGAGGAGCAGGTCAAAGAGAGAGGAGCAGGTCAGAGAGAGAGGAGCAGGTCAAAGAGAGAGGAGCAGGTCAAAGAGAGAGAGGAGCAGGTCAAAGAGAGAGAGGAGCAGGTCAAAGAGAGAGAGGAGCAGGTCAAAGAGAGAGAGGAGCAGGTCAAAGAGAGAGAGGAGCAGGTCAGAGAGAGAGAGAGGAGCAGGTCAAAGAGAGAGAGGAGCAGGTCAAAGAGAGAGAGAGGAGCAGGTCAAAGAGAGAGAGGAGCAGGTCAAAGAGAGAGAGGAGCAGGTCAAAGAGAGAGGAGCAGGTCAAAGAGAGAGAGGAGCAGGTCAAAGAGAGAGGAGCAGGTCAAAGAGAGAGAGAGGAGCAGGTCAAAAAGAGAGAGGAGCAGGTCAAAGAGAGAGAGGAGCAGGTCAAAGAGGGAGAGGAGCAGGTCAAAGAGAGAGAGGAGCAGGTCAAAGAGAGAGAGGAGCAGGTCAAAGAGAGAGAGGAGCAGGTCAAAGAGAGAGAGGAGCAGGTCAAAGAGAGAGAGGAGCAGGTCAGAGAGAGAGAGAGGAGCAGGTCAAAGAGAGAGAGAGGAGCAGGTCAAAGAGTGAGAGGAGCAGGTCAAAGAGAGAGAGGAGCAGGTCAAAGAGAGAGAGGAGCAGGTCAAAGAGAGAGGAGCTGGTCAAAGAGAGAGAGGAGCAGGTCAGAGATAGAGAGGAGCAGGTCAAAGAGGGAGAGGAGCAGGTCAAAGGGAGAGAGGAGCAGGTCAAAGGGAGAGAGGAGCAGGTCAAAGAGAGAGAGGAGCAGGTCAAAGGGAGAGAGGAGCAGGTCAAAGAGAGAGAGGAGCAGGTCAAAGGGAGAGAGGAGCAGGTCAAAGAGAGAGAGGAGCAGGTCAAAGGGAGAGAGGAGCAGGTCAAAGAGAGAGAGGAGCAGGTCAAAGAGAGAGAGGAGCAGGTCAGAGAGAGAGAGGAGCAGGTCAGAGATAGAGAGGAGCAGGTCAAAGAGGGAGAGGAGCAGGTCAAAGGGAGAGAGGAGCAGGTCAAAGGGAGAGAGGAGCAGGTCAAAGAGAGAGAGGAGCAGGTCAAAGGGAGAGAGGAGCAGGTCAAAGAGAGAGAGGAGCAGGTCAAAGAGAGAGAGGAGCAGGTCAGAGAGAGAGAGAGGAGCAGGTCAAAGAGAGAGAGAGGAGCAGGTCAAAGAGTGAGAGGAGCAGGTCAAAGAGAGAGAGGAGCAGGTCAAAGAGAGAGAGGAGCAGGTCAAAGAGAGAGGAGCAGGTCAAAGAGAGAGAGGAGCAGGTCAAAGAGAGAGAGGAGCAGGTCAAAGAGAGAGGAGCAGGTCAAAGAGGGAGAGGAGCAGGTCAAAGAGGGAGAGGAGCAGGTCAAAGAGAGAGGAGCAGGTCAAAGAGAGAGAGGAGCAGGTCAAAGAGAGAGAGGAGCAGGTCAAAGAGAGAGAGGAGCAGGTCAAAGAGAGAGGAGCAGGTCAAAGAGAGAGAGGAGCAGGTCAAAGAAAGAGGAGCAGGTCAGAGAGAGAGGAGCAGGTCAAAGAGAGAGGAGCACGCCAAAGAGAGAGAGGAGCAGGTCAAAGAGAGATAGAAGCAGGTTCAAAGAGAGAGGAGCAGGTCAAAGAGAGAGGAGCAGGTCAAAGAGAGAGGAGCAGGTCAGAGAGAGGAGCAGGTCAAAGAGAGAGAGGAGCAGGTCAAAGAGAGAGAGGAGCAGGTCAAAGAGAGAGAGGAGCAGGTCAGAGAGAGAGGAAACTCCTGAAATCCTTGAAACTTTTTTTAAAACCTGGAAACCTGTTGAAAGGGTGGAAACTCCTGAAATACCTTGAACCTCCTTATATCACATGAAACTGTTAAATTTCTTAAACATTGAAATCCTTGAAACTACTGAATTTAATTGAAAGAGTCCTTGAACTGAAAAATCGCCCCTCACCGCTGAAACAATTTGGTTCCTGTAACTAAGGAAACCTGGTCTGTGGTCATTATCTGGGTGGAGGGGCCTGAGTCTTCGTATTGGGTCTGGTCTGTGGTAATAATGCATCCTATTCGGTTGCATTATACGGTTTACATGGAAAAATCCCTATTAGGTTGCATTATTACTGTTAACATGGAAAAAAATCCCTATTAGTTGCATTATACTGGTTTACATGTACAAATCCCTATTAAGTTGCTTTATACAGGTTACATTAAAAACCCCTATATTTACATTATACTGGTTTTACATGTAAAAACCCCTATAAGTCCAATATACTGGTTTCCATGTAAAACCCATTAAGTTGCATTAAGACTGGTTTACATGAACAAACCCAATTAAGTGGCATTATACTGGTTTACATGGAAAAACCCTATTAATTTGCATCTACTGGTTTACATGGAAAAATTCCCCAATAAGTTGCATTATACTGGTTTACATGAAAAAAAACCCTATTAAGTTGCATTATACTGTTTACATGAAAAATCCCCTATTAAGTTGCATTTACTGTTTACCATGAAAAATCCCTATTAAGTATCATTATAACTGGTTTACATGGAAACAACCCCCTATTAATTTCCATTTATACTGGATTACCATGTAAAAAATAAAAAAAACCCATTAATTGCATTATACTGTTCACATGAAAAAAAACCCTATTAATGCATTATACTGGTTTACATGGAAAAATCCCCTAATAAGTTGCCTAATACTGGTTTACATGGAAAAATCCCCTTAAGTTCATTATACTGGATTACATGATAAAACCCCAATTAATTTGCTTAATACTGGTTACATGGAAAAAATCCCCTTTAGTACATTAATACTGTTTTACATGAAACACCCCATTAAGTTCGATTAAACTGGTTTACATGAAAAATCCCCCATTAAGTTGCATTATACTGTTTACCATGAAACAAACCCTATTAAGTTGCATTAATACTGGTTTACCTACAAATCCCTAATAAGTTGCTTTATACTGGTTTACCAGTAAAAACCCCTATTAGTTCATTATAACAGGTTTACCATGTAAAAACCCCTATTTAAGTTCCTTTATGCCTGTTTCATGTAAAAACCCTAATTAAGTTGCATTATACTGGTTTACATGAAAAAAAACCCTATTAAGTTCATTATACTGTTTACATGGAAAAATCCCTATAAGTTCATAATACTGGTTTACATGGAAAAATCCCCATTAAGTTGCTTATAACGGTTTACATGAAAAAAACCCTATTAAGTTGCATTATACTGGTTTACATGGGAAAAAATCCCTATTAAGTTGCCATTGAACTGGTTTTTACCTTGAAAAATCACCTATAAGTTTGCATTATACTGGTTTACATGGAAAAATCCCTATTAAGTTCATAATACTGGTTACATGAAAAATCCCATTAAAGTTGATTATACTGGATACATGAAAAAAACCCTATTAAGTTGCATTATACTGGTTTACATGTAAAAATCCCTATTAAGATTGCATTATACTGGTTTACTATGGAAAAATCCCAATAAGTTGCATTTATACGGGTTTACAATAAAAAAACCCTATTAAATGCAATATAAGTGTTTTACATGAAAAAATCCTCAAATAAGTTGCATTGTACTTGGTTTACATGGAAAAAACCCTATTAAGTTGCATTATACTGGTTTACATGAAAACACCCTATTAAGTTGCATTATACATGTTTACATGTAAAAAACCCCTATTAAGTTGCATTAACATGTTTTACATGGAAAAATCCCATTAAGTTGCCTTATACTGGTTTACATGAAAAAAAACCCTATTAAGTTGCATTATACTGGTTTACATGAAAAAACCCTATTAAGTTGCATTATACTGGTTTACATGGAAAAATCCCTATTAAGTTGCATTATACTGGTTTACATGGAAAAATCCCTATTAGGTTGCATAATTACACTGAAGTCCTTGAAACTGCTGAAGTCCTTGAAACTGCTGAAGTCCTTGAAACTGCTGAAGTCCTGAAACTGTTGAAGTCCTTGAAACTCTTGAAATCTTGAAACTGCTGAAATCCTTGAAACAAGTTGAATCCTTGAAACTGTTGAATCATTGAAACTGTAGAAATGTCCTGAAAGAGCTGAGTCCTATTAAAATGCAGGGCCTATTAAAATGCATTGCAAGAATTCTCAATGCAGATTTTGTCCGATTGCGAAAAAACCGGAAATCGCTGAAGTCCCAAAAGTAATAGCAATAATCTCCCAAACATAGTGGAACGTTTTGATGTATAAACTTGTGGAAATTGTTTGAAAATGTGAAAGCTGTGAAACGTGTCAAAAAAAAAAAACCAAGGTGACGGGAAGGTTCCGCATAAAGAATTACAAAACCAATGGTTGACTGCGGAAAGGCCAGTCTCACATCTCAGCAGACTCCAGATTTTAGCAACAGAATCTGAAAAGCAGCCTCCCCATGAATGGTTCTGACACTGGGAACTAACAGGATCCAGTCCCCTTGCCCCCACCAGAGTCACAGCAGAGTCACAGTCCCTTGGCTCCTCCAGAGGTCCCCAGCAGGAGTCCAGTCACCTGTGCTTCCTCAGAGTCCCCTCAAGGAGTCCAGTCCCTGTGCGCCTCAGAGTCCCAGCAGGTGTCCATCCCCTGTGCTCGCTCAGAGTCCCGTGCTTGGTTCATATGGGACAACAAGGTCACTAATATAATTTTGGACACGAGGCCATGAGAGAGACCATGTAACCAAGCAGAGCTGTTTTTAAAGTCTCTTCTCCGAGCCCCAGAAGCCAGTGCAGACAGACTAATATGGTCGTAACTTTTTTGCAAGTTGTGGGTTGCTTTTTGTGAGTTGTACTATTTTATACCCCGATGCATATGTGTGTGGTATTAACTATTTTGAAAAATCAATGTATTTTATTTCCCTTCATCAAAACCAACACCTTTTATGGCACTTACAACATCCATTTGAAATATTTCAATCACACTGTGGCCACTTTGGTAATTCAAACCCTGTGAAGAGAAGTGCTTGTTATTTTAAGACATCAAAGGGCATCTGTCCGGTATTTACCGACAAGAGGCTAACAATAGCTCAGACATGACTGCGCATTGCGCGCAATGTTTCGGCCAAACATTGTGGTACGACTCGTTGGATTCTACTTGTTCTCCTCATATCCGCGTTGAGTATTTAATTGGCTAAATCCATTGAATCATTGTGACAACAAAACAACTGCAGTTAATGGTGCTTCGACGGAAGCGATTTCAGATACTCCCTGAAAAGGACTATATGAAAGTAACATTCAACCCGTTCGTTAAACCACAACATTCGACCAGACCAGACCAACCAGACAGATCAGACCAGTGGGTGCTTGTGGTCCTGCAGAATTTTCTCTCATGAAAAGGTTAAAAAGGGCACATGTTTTTTTCAAAACACAACGCTGAACCACTGTGAGTATCCAGATGCCAGTCCCAGCTAAACGTAGCTATGACTGGTATCTGTTACTCCACAATTGTCCAGCGAATGTTTTGAAAAAACATGTGCCCATTTTAACCTTTTTCATGAGAGAAATACTGCCGACCACAGCACCCACCTGTTCCTGAATCTGGTCCTGGTCTGGTCCTGGTCAGTCGCTAGTTGTGGTATAACGAACGGTTGAATGTTACATTACATATAGTCCCCTTTCAGAGTATCAGAAATCGCTCCGACAAGCACCATAACTGCAGTGTTTTGTTGTCACCATGTGCAAAGATTTAGTCCCAAATAATACACAATCGTATAGGAGAACACAGAAAGCTCAACGCGTCGAACACAATGTTTGTCCGAAACATTCGCGCATGCGCATTCATCCTGAGCTATTTTTAGCACATTTCGGAACCAGACAAGTGCCCTATGATGTCTTAAAATACAAGCACTTCACTATTATCACAAAGGGGGTTTATTGTAAAACCAAGCTGGCCACAGTGATTGCAAATATTTATTTCAAATGGATTGTTGTAAGTGCCAAAAAATTAGTTGTGTTTTTGAAGGGAAAAAAAATACATTGATTTTTCCAAAATAGTAATACCACACACATAATGCATCGGGGAAAAATAGTACATACCACAAAAGCAACCACACTTGCAAAAGGTACGACCATCATTAGACCAGTCTGCAACTGCTTCCGGTGGCACAGAGAAATAACTTTAAAAACAGCTCTGCTTGATTACAAGTCTCTC